ATATACAATGAATAGTATATTCGGTATCTATTATAACCGGATTATACCGAATATTCGATAAAATTATGTGTTGAATAACTGAATATTTGACAAGTAGACTATTAGTACTAGACACTATTTTAACAAAAACAATGCAGACATGATCTTCTAAAATAAGAAGAAATCCCTTTATTCTCAATAAGGAGAAAATCTCTCGAAATTTTTCGCATAAATTTTTCAGAATTTTTGTGTAAAAATTTTAGAATTTTTGATTAATTTTGCAATTTTTTAGAAAATCTCTCAAATTTTTTAAAAATAAATGGTAACATTTTCCAGAAGTTTCAAGAAAATTATTTTAGAATTTTTCAGATATGTAAATCTTCATATGAAGATCATGAAATACTAAAATTTCTCATTCTATAATTTCTGATGAAATCCTTATGAAATCTAAAAAAAATTTAAATATTTTTTTTAGAAATGATAGAATAAGAAATCTTGGAATATTTCATAATTCACATTCTGAAAAATTCTAAAGAAGATGTAGAAATTTCTGCATTTCTAAGTGTTCCAATTCGTATACAAATTTTTCACGATCATCTATTTAAACATATTTTATCAAGTGGTGTGAAATCAAACAATAGTAGAATTTTACGATTACAACTATTCGGTATTCAATCGAATAGTAGACTAATACTCAGATGTTTAGCTGAAGAGTAGAAATGTTGAAGACAGAATACTAAATAGTTACTAAAATATTCGTTGCAATTTTAATTCGTATTCGAATTATAATATAAGTATAATTTCTGGAATTTCTCTTTTTTCCATATCGCATATCTCGCTCTATTGATGTAAAATGCAAATTTTAATCAATTCGTTCAATTGCACGTCAATCATGTACGGCCACGTGTTTATGTTTATTTATATGACTGATGTGACTTCGTCCACGAGTTATAAAATATTTATTATATCAATTTTTCAAAATTTCTATTCCAAGATTTTGTCATATATATAATTTTTTTAATGCACAAAATATGTGCATTGTAAAAATGGGGAAAAAACTCAGAAAGGAATAATAATAGATTTGTTTCTGGAAATCATTCGTATACCTAACGATTGATGCAAATTCGAATTTGGATAAGATTAATTTACAATAAACATACTTTAACACTATTTTCTTTTTTCAAAGATTATTTATCTCCCGGGACGAAGGACTTTAATTGTTCAATTTCTTATGTAGTGGATTGTTCGGAAAATTCGTGCCACAAAAGATTTAAATTTAATAAATGTATACTAAAATTTAAATCTTCTGCGTTTCAATTTTCCTTCAAAATCGGCAACCTAATATTACGTGTTATGCAAGAATCTGTGCTTTCCGCTTTATACTGGGGGTCCATCGGTTGATTCATCTTTTGGTAAATTTTATCTGTGAGATAAATCTGAGATAATCCGCTCATGTGATTGAATAATCTTACTACTTACTTAACAGATAAACTGCATTATTCCAAATAGTTAATTAGTTGTTTCAATGATTCCCTTTTCCGCACCGTGTGATTTCACCCTTACTGATTATTGATTCGTTACGCGGTTACACCTCATGGGACTCCACTCTTAAACCGTAAGAAATGGGCGAATCGATTATTCTTCTCGCATTTGGTTGTAATTGATCAGTTTAAAGCACATATGTCCACTTATCTAATATTCTTGATATTACATCTTTAATATTTCTGAAATATTATTAAAATATTCATAAATATTAATTATTTTCAATTTAAAGCAATTGAATTCACAATCCAGCAACAAAAAATTCTTATTAGTCTATGCTGCATCTTGCATTAAGAAAAAATATTTCGGCGCGATTTTAAGTACATATCTAGTTCTACAACTGCGCCATATATATAAATTTAAACATATATTGAACAGATGTATTGTAATCAGCAATGTTTTTTAAATGTTTCTTAAACGTTTATTTCTCATTATTTTTACATTTTTCACGATACATTTTCAAAATTCATTAATTTAACGTTTATTTAACGTTTATTTAATATTTATTAAATGTTTATTTAATATTAAATATTCATTTGAAATAATAATTTGAAAAAACATTTTTTAAACGTTTATTTAATATTAATTAAATGTTTATTTTACATTATTTATTCATTTAAAATGTGGTAATAAGAAATATATTATCTATTTCATGTTTATTTAATGTTTAGTAAATGTTTTATTTCACATTAATTATTTGTTTGAAATAATGGTTTAAGGAAACATTTATTTAATGTCTATTAAATCTTTTTTAAAAATTTATATGACATTTAATAAATGTTTGTTTTTTGTTTATTTATTTAAAATATGATTAAAAAAATATTTATTTAATATTTATCTGATGTTTATTATAAATATGAAAAAAATATTATTTTCTAAAGCTCAAATTAATTTAAAACGGGTTGGAATAATAAAATAATAATGAAAGAGAAGTTAACACAATATACCATCTTGATCAAAAAGTTCCCGGAATTACCACCAGGTGATGCTCTAAGTCAGCTGATTTGAGTTCTGTTGTCTTTTTTTGGTTAGGTTGCCACATCTATCATGGACATTCCCACCAAATTTTATCACTTGCTTGACATTTATGAAAGTTACGCCGTCTTGTGTACATCTACCTCTGCACGTATTTTCGATTTTTTACAGTTTTAAAAATGGAGTTAAATTTGCAACAACGAGTTTGTATTAAATTTTGCGTTAAAAATGGATTCAATGTGAAAACCTTGGAAATGTTGAGAAACTATTTCGGCAATGATACTCTAAAGAAAACAGCCGTTTATGAGTGACATGAAAAAACCATTACGAGGAACGCGTTTTAACAGCCGAAAGGAGATAATGGAAAAATCGAAGACGACTCTGATGGCTATACCGACAATAGAGTTCCAAAAATGTTTCGAGAGTTGGATCAAGCGCTGGCATAAATGCGTTGCAATCGATGGGGAATACTTTGAAGGGGACAATATCACTTTTGATGAATAAAACTTGTATTTTGAATTTTCTGAATTCCGGGAACTTTTTGATCAAGATAGTAATTGTTTGTATCGATATTAAGTTATGCATAAGATATATGACGGATAGAAGAAGACTCATAACTCTTCCCGGTTCAAAACTCGACCGGTAAGTGAAAAAGATTAAAATATAATTAAAAATTATGATTAATTAATAAAATTAGTTGTTTAATATTTAGCATGTCGATAAAAAAAAATAAATTAAAAAATTCTACATTATTTTTTCTAATTTTGTTCAAATAATTTTGACATTAAGAAACGTTTTTTAATGTTAAAAGAAATATTTCTTAAATAAATATTTTTTAAACGTTAAAAAAATGTTTTTTCAAATGTTAAAATAAACGTTTTTTTAATCAAAAAAAGATGATTTAATTATTAGGTGTAGTAAAAAGAAATCCATTATTTTTGCATGAAATTGAACGGAAAAATAATGGATTTCTTTTTATTATACCTAATATTTAATTTCCATTATTTTTCAAAA